GAGGGTAGGCTCTGGCTGCTGTAGTGGTGTCGCTGGTTGTTGTGGTTGTTGCTGTGTCTGTTGTTGTTGTGCCCTGGCTCCACGAAGGTCGCGGGTATCCACAAAAGCGGCGGTTTCGCGGGGTGGCTTGGGTGGCGGCCGTTTGGCAAATCCTTGCTGGGTGTCCCCCGCACTGGAGTGGTGTGGCTGTGCTTGTCGCGGTGTGTCCTTCACGTCCTCTGCAAATCGGACGTGTCTTGGGTCTGCAGGGGGATCTCGCTGCGGGGGCTTGTCATGGGTCGGTGGCGGTCGCATGGGGTCATTGGAGCTGCTGGCTCGGTCTTTGCTGGGACCCTGTGTTGAGGGTGGTCCCCCTGGCTCTGTGCGTGTTTGCTTCTTGTCCCCCTTCTCCTTCCGAGTGTCCCGTGCGACGGAGGGGACTTGCTTGTCGACGGTTAGTCGCCACTCTTGGTTTGTGTTTTGGAGGATGAAGGAGTCCCCCTCAACTACGAACATGCTCTGTGGCCAAAACTCGTCGAGCATCGGCAGTGAGGTTATCATCAGCAACCAGGTGTCGGGCGGGCCCACTGGGTCCCCGGAGGCAGTGGTGGCGCCCCGATAACGGGTCCAGTTTGGCCAACATGGACCATCCGAAGTGGTGGCAACCCTGGTGAGAAAGTCAGTGGTGTCTCGATGTAGTGTTCGGCACTGATGACAGCTTCCCAACACCCGTTTGTGAGTTGGTTGTAGGTGACGGTGGTGCCCTCAGCGTGTGGTATGCTGGGTGGTGGTTCGAGATCGTCTGGCCCTTGGGGGGCGTTGTCATACTGCCATTGTTCCAGCTCTGTGTAAATGTGGCGGGGGGGGGGCCTCGTCGGCTGCGGGACCGGTTGGCTGTGTTGGTTGTGGGTCCCCCGATGCCGGGTGTGCTGGGGGCACCGCTGGCTTGGTTTCGCGGGTTCGTCCCAGGAACTTGTCCATGGCTTCCTGGAACCTGGCCTCTGCGTGTGTGTCTGCCTTGGTCCCCGGTGCTGGTGGTGTTGTGTCGGGGTCTGCGCGGGCCTCTCTCTCTCTCTCTCTCTCTCTTGCTTGCTTGCATTGCTTGCAGGGCGTTTGGGAGGTGGGGCTCGGGTCCCCTGCGCGCGAGCGCTACGCCTTTGTTCGTGTCTCTCTCTTGCTTGCACGCAGCCGAAGAGGAAGCGGTCCGCGCCCCCTCTTGCGCACATGTGCGCACTGGAGCTGTCTCTGTGTGACACTATTCCCCTCGGTTGGCGCGAGGCTCTGTCTTGCACCGGCGATAACCCCCATTACAACGCCTATTATTTACCCCCGGCCTCGCGCCTCGTCATGAGGGTTCTGGTTTGTCAGACTTCGCCCAAAAGCACCGGTTGCCCTGTTGGCTCTCTAGTGCAGGCTGCCTGGTTATGTGGCGTGCCCCCCTTTTGTACGTGACACTGAAAACACTTGCTAGCACTGCTGAGGCCCCGGCGATATAGGCTAGTTAGGTTTCAGGGTGGAGGTTGGCACTGGTGCTACCACGGCTTAGGCTCGGCTTCCCCCATAGCAACACGAAGCACACACGAAGCAGCACTGTATTAGTTCTACTGCACTACTGTTCTGGGTGCCAGAAGCCTCCGTGTTCATCATACATCGCCGCATGCATACGTCTACGTCGGTGGCTTCGTTGCCTCAGTAGGTCTTCTGGTTGTCCCCCGGGAGGTTCTGGTCCCCTTTCATCGGTCGTCACTGCTGCTGCCAGTTCTAGCTGTAGTGCTTCTTCTTCTTGTTTTTCCAGCTCCTCCATGACGGCGACTAGGTCTTCATCGGTTGGTCCCCCTTCTGACGGTGGGCTTTGCTCTGCTTCTGGGCGATCTGTGTCGCTTGGCACACTGCCATTCCACTGTTCCATGTGCAGTGGTGGGATCCAGGGGACAGTGGCTTGCTGAGAAAGAGCCGTGTCCTCCCCAGTCCCCCCACTTTGGTCCAGCAGTGTTTCCCCCGTTTGGCCAGGCGGGACGTCGAAGAGCGCGAAGAGCGGCACCGGCTGGTTGTGCTCCCCCTCTTCGGTAGTCTGCGTGTCGACGGTGATCGGTCGCTCCAGGTTGGCAGTCACTGCGGCCAGGGCTGCTCGTACTTCCCCTCCCCCGGTGGTGAGGAAGGGGAGTAATCCCCGCAGGTCTCGGAGCACTTGCTGGAACCGTTCTTGCTTGGTCCCCGCTCTTTGGGGGGGCGTCTCCACGGCTCCCTCGTTCAAGGCGGTCACGTCGGCGGGGTGCACGAAGTTCAGCTCTTCCAGCTCGTTGTGCAGGTCTTCGGCTTCTTGTAAGAGGAGATGCATGGTTTGTCCCCAGCTGTAGGACATCCAGTCAAACTCTCCGCTCACAGTGTCCCCCAGAGCGGCCGACACCGCGCTTTGTACTTGCTGGACTCCCTCGAAGCACGCGCTGATTTGAGCGCCCCCTTGGTCCGTTGTAGTGGCCTCGAGCACCATCACTGTGCGTTCCAGTTCGCGTTCGATGGCTTCGAGGTCCGAGCGCACCTGGTGCTGGTTGATGCCGTTCTCCCCGTAGTTGAGGTAGCGAACACGCTTCGGCGGTGGCGGCAAGCATGCCGCTTCGTCGGGTGGTTCTCCCGTGTGCTCCAGGCGGTCACAGTCGAGAGCGTCCATCGCATCTTCCACCGTGGCTCTCGTCGTGGTCCCCCATGGCACACCGTCGAGCAGGTACAAGAGCTGTCGCAGCCACAGCCGGGCCATGGCTGATTCCTTGGTACGTCTGCCCGTTCTCGAGCACTGTTGCTGCGCATGGCCATGGCTTGCGGTGCTATGGCTACTGGTGGCCGGCTCTGGTCGTTGCATGTAAGTAGTCTCGTCTGCTTCGCTACTTTCAGCGGGCCCCTCTGGTGGCGGGCTTGGGGTTGGACTAGTGGCTCCTCCCGGTGCTGTCGCAGGTGGCGATGGTCCCCCTGCTGGCTCTGTGTCTGCGGTGGTTGTGGTGGCAGCAAACGTATGGCCATGATTTCCCACTGGCTTGGTGGAAAGGTGGAACAGCGTGGGGGTGGCTCCCTCACTATGCCTGCTTTTCTCATGAAGGCCCAGTCGTAGTAGTATTGTGTTGCTGCTTTGGGAACCAGGTGCCCTAGTTGCCACTGCTTGGTTTGCGGGTTCCACTCTAGCACGTAACCGGTGCCAGGCTTGAGGTGGGTGGCTGTGCTGTCTGGTTGTTGCCCCACTGCCGTGACTTGGAAAAGCCATCGTTCGGGACGTCCCCCGGTGATTTCCCCCCAGGGTAGCAGTGCGAAGTGGCGATATGCCCTGGTGGTTCCCCCGTGTTGGGGCGTCTCTCTTGCCTGGCTCTCATAAAGCCTCTGCCGGCCTGGTTCTCGTAGTCTGGTGCTGCTGTTGACCCTCTGTTGAGGACGATCCCTGCCCACACTCCAAAGGGCAGCGCTCGGAGATGGAGGTAAGCAGTGCTCGCTATTGGCAGCTCTGGTGGGAATGTGAGGGGATTACGTCCCCCACCGAAAGCCAGCAGCATTATGTTGGTGGTCCCCTCCCAGCGCTTCCTGGAGTCTCCTGTTGCTGCGGTGGTGGTGCTGCTGCTCGCTCCTTGTCGGCGGCGCCGTGGGTCATTCGGTGGCTCTGCTGCTGTCTTTCCTCGCTGCGGTGTGGGTTGCTGTGTTGCCTGGTGCGTGTTGGCACCTGTTTGTGGTGTGTTGGTGGCCTGGCTTGCCGTGGCTGGGGCTCCTCCAGTGGAGGCTGTTGCTGTGGCAGTGGGCTGTGAAGGGATGCTCCCCCATGGCAGGTTGGCTCTGTTGAGCAGTTCGGCCCAGTTGGTGTTGTCTTGATGTGGTGCTGGTGGTGTTGTTGCTGGTCGCCCTCCTTGCGGTGTGCGCCCCGGTCCCCTGGTCAGGATTCGCGCCCACTCCTCCTCGTCGTCCTCTTCGTACAAGCCTACATGGTGTGCCACTTCCTTCCATGTTTCTCTCTCTCTCTCTCTCTCTCTCTCTCTCTCTCTCTCTCTCTCTCTCTCTCTGGTTGATTTGAGCATAGTCGAGCTACATTCGGAACTGCGGCCGAGGAGTGGTGCACGACCGGACCTACCTCGCACTCCTGAGCACTCTTGGGCTCCCACCAATATCTGCTATGCTCCGCTGTGGCCCCATTGCCTGTCACGAGGTGCTACTGTACGCGACGTACATGTCGTCGGGCGTAGCCGTTCAAAAGCAGCTTGCGAAGAGCGCCATGAATAGCAGGGAAAGGGTAGCGCGACTCGTCTAGCGAATCTATCGGCGCGTAGCACTGCGAATCACGCGAGCATGGCGGAGGCTTGGCATGTACAAGTGAAACATGTCCTGGGAATATTGGCAATGTCGGGCCGGCACATGCTAGCCAGCTTTCCGGCTCCCAGTTTCGTGTTATCAAGGACATATTGTCAGTAATTTGCTCGGGTTATATACATATACATATAGATAGATGAGCAACATACAATTATATAATTATATACATATATATATATATATATAGAGAGAGAGAAGTATGTACGTATGTATGAACAATGTATATGCATATGTATGTAGGTGTACAAGTACATGCACACGCATTGGTCTTGCTTTGGTGGGCGAGTCCTGGTGAGTTACCAGCCCTGGTGCATGTCTTCCAACGTTCTGGTAACTCGTGATGGAGGCACTGTTTTTTGATGAGGGCGAAGAATGCAAAGCGCAGTATGTATATATATATATATACACAGATATACAGGCCTGCATTCGCACATACGTACATTCATTCGTGCATTCATTCGTTCATTCATTCATTCGTTCGTTCATTCATTTATGCATAAATACACATCCCTGTCCCAGACCCACCTGCAGCATCTGTGTGGGTATGTATGTATGTATGTATCATTTGTGGTTATACGTATGGATGTAGGAGAGAGCAGAGAAAGACACAAACACACAGATTAGATTTGATTAGATGTATGACAACCGTGAACTCCTCGATTTGGACCGGCTTCGGTCCGCCGCTAGCTGGCCTGTTTCACCTCCCGGCGCGCTTGGGGCGAACGCAGCGGCGAACTGTCGCCTTGGCATACAGAGATACGAACCTTTTCCTAAGAATCTCCCACAGAAGCAGCTCTCTGCTGTCAGTCCCTGGCCATGATCTTTCAGCTCGCTGACAGACGCAGCTTTCCACCAGGACTGCGAGGAAGGTCCAGGTGGGCCGTGTTCACATGAGTGAGGGCTTCGTGCTCCGTCCAAAGATCCACCAGACCCTTAACTAAATTCCTGCTGGCAGAGCCGACAAAACTGCTCCTTCATTCTCAAGATCTCTCAACTTTTAGTGTCAGCGTGGTCCTCTCGCTCTCTGCGAGGCGTCTCCTGGCGCAAGGACCTGCCAGGGGTCGGAATTATGGAGGTGCGTGTGCCATGTTCTGAGGAGCCGATTCTACTAGATGCTGTCGCAGAAATACGGTTCCCGGACTCACGAACTACGGTTTCTTGACAATGAAGCATGGTGCTTTGGGAAAGGCGGTGACTCATGCTTAGCCGCGAGATCTGTGTCCATAGCTGTAGTTGTGGAAAAAATGCCTCACTCACAAAGTGAAGCTTTCTTGCTGTTGCTCCTAGAAGCACTGATTGCGGAGTAGATGTGAGAACGTCTCCGACACTGGAATCAATAATCCTCGATGACAAGCACATGTCGAGAACAAGTAGCATGAAATGAAGCTGCCAACCGCAAGCAAAACCCTAAGTTTCTCTATGCTGCATGCTACTGTCAGCACGGGATGTGACGGCACACGAAAAAGAACGTAGAAATAGCAACCGTCTGATATTGAACGAGTTGCGCCACTGAAGCCGAATCTTCAGAGGCGATGGTTGCAACGCGCACCTGTCCGATCCGCCAGTTGACGGGTTTCGGCTGTGAGATTGAAGTTGAGATAATAACTGCACGAGACATCTAGTGTAATTACTCGTTTCTATTGGCGAAGCTTGTGTTACAACGCATTAGAACACCTTTGAAGTGAAACTTCAGTCTTCGTTGTTAGGCTTGCCTCCGACTGAAAGTTGACTCTGCGTCCCGCGAATCGGCTTGTCCAACGGCATCCAGTGGAGTTAAGAACTTCTAGCAACTTTATCCGAGCATGCTCCATTTTCGCCATCGATTGGAGCCGCTTTGGGCTGTGGCAATCTGGGCAGTCGTCCAAGGCCCCAACCCCTCCAAGTTCCTCTGCTGAGCATAACTTAGGGACTCTCCCATTGCAACAGGACCCGTACTGTTTGCCGCCTCTGCCTCCACTGCACTGTGCAGTATTGCAGACATCCCATCCACGGTAGTATCCAGGGTCCCTGCAAGCCCTAGGTCCCGGTCCTAGGTCCGATCAGAGTAGGCACGGAAGCTCGGGATACTTCGCTCGAAGCTCCTCACCGGTGGCGAAGAGCTTGCCCTCAGCCAGGCTTCGAGTTTCATGGTAGATGGTTCTGACATGATGTGTTTTTTCACGTCTTCAGCGAAGATCTGCAGCATGCCGAATACTGCAGGAAAATACAGCGGTTGTTGTTCTTTGTTTTCGCCTGGTAGATGATGATCTTGGTGGGGTATAAGCCTTTCTGGTACCGCTCATTGATTCGGTCGATCCACCTGCCGCACGGTTGACAGCAGCTCGCCGTGACCGTAACAAGACTCCAGCCTCTTGGTCTCCACCGGGTCTTTGGCGTTGTGCGCCGTGAAATGCGCCTGCACCAAATCGCACGATACAGTGATTGAGACGGAATCTTGGCTACAGAAACAGTGAAGTGACCCTCAGTTTTGCCCGTGCCTTGGCCGCCCCTTTGGGGTAGAAGCGCATATCAGCCATGATGTTGGAACAGCCAGTGCCGGAGGGACACTTATTGGCATTTCCCGGGCTCCAACGAATCATCCTGGGCTGGGAAAGTGTCGTGCTCCAGAACCCTCACTCTCTTATAGATCCCGTTTAAAGAGCCCCTTCAGGGAACCCCTTTTAAAATCATGGAAGCATGGGCAAACACCGCAGTGGTCCAGGATCCCTCGGCAGAGTGGCTCGGCAGAAGACAAGAGAAACCAAGCACCACAATAAACAGTAGTCATCATGTTCAGAACCGCCCCAACAGGAGCGAGTCGCAACCAGAGAAAGCGAAGTAAAGTCATCTCCTTGAAACCTAGCTCATCTTCGCAATATTGGCAACAACGGCCTCCCTGCAGCTGCCCCCATGGGAAACGAACTGATGCAAGGGCGGAGCCAATTCAACAGATTTGATGTGGAGCAGTCTTTCTTTATCGATCGGGAGGCTCCTCGAACTCGGTCCGGTCGTTGTCGAACTTACACCACTGCTTCGTGACCTGGCCGGTTCTGCAAAGTCAGTTGTGCTTGCAACTCTGCTATAGACCCGCTCAGTGCAGCTGGAAAAGCATACATCTTGCAGGCCTTGTCCTCCCAAGCAGCCACGTTCAGCATGTCTTCGTCCTGCCATAGCGGCTAGTGTCAATCGAGTACTGCTGCAGACCATACCCGCCTGTGGTGGTTCTGCACTTAGCATTGCACAGCTTTCCACTTGCTTAGCTTCTAGGAAGATGAACATCCTTGAAGGTACAGGCCATGCATATAACATATGGTGTGCGCCAGCCCACCACACAAATAAAGTCTCTTGTCGGTACCTGTTGTTCTGGACAGGCTAATGCAGGTCCTCCGGAATATCAGCAACCCGAAGTGCGCCCATGTGTGGCGCCTCCTTCAACAACTGGGCAGGTGCAATCCGGCTTACAGGCTCGACGCTCCGTGGAGCTATCACATGAGCGAAAACTTGAAGTGTCAGGTTTCAAGCCGCAACCGATTCCCAAGTCCGGCAGCGTCTCATCACGCAGAATCCTTCGGAGCCAAGTGCCTGCATGGGACAGCGACACGGTTGTTCGCAGGTCAGGGCGTGGCCCTGCAACTTTGGAGTGAGTCGCCTATCCACGGAAGGGCCCAGAACGTCCAGGTCGGATGAGCATGACTCCAGCGCATGGAGTGCCGCTCGCAGTGCGGTGGATCTGTGCAGAAACGGCCTAAGCGATGTCTCTGAGTTAGATGCAGAGTGCAGAGCTGCAGCATCAGCTTCAGTTGAAGTTTGCTGCTTCTTTTAGACTGTGGCTGGCTGCTCGTTTGCTACTCGTTGGCCAAATCGGCCAAGAAACCTCCCACCTGTCGACCCCAAACGCTAAGGCGCAGGCGCCACCAAATGTTGGAAGGTGCATCTTTTTGCGTGAAACCTAGCACGGAGGCGGCGGGAATGTGTGGAAGGAAGCCATCAACCTCGCTCGGCTAGTTTCGCACCACGACGGCAGGCCTTCCTATCGTGACAAGGCCCGCAAAAACAAGGCTGGTGGGGACGGGTGGAGGAAGAAGGGCACCCCCAGCAGCAATTCCGACTGCAGCTTGCAACGCAGGGCAACATGTCGGAAGGGCCTTTGGCCGCACTGCATTGCGGAAAGGCAGAGGCAGATCGGAAAGGACAAATCTTTGGGCAGCACAATAATACAATGAAGTTCTTGATATGTATATATATATGTATATATATATATATATATATATATTTATATACACACACATATATATATATATATATATATATACATAATGTGTGCTATATATAGATATATACATATAACATAACCATGTATACATACATACATATACAGATTTATATATACATGTCATGAGCGAATGTCAATGCGGCGCTGGTGGCTGAAGTAATGCACTGGCAAGATGGGAATCGGGTAGTCCTTGGTGATCTCCTTCTGGGTCATGTTGAACATGTAGTCCACGCCTGGAGTGCAAACAATCAGATCTAACAGTCGTCCGCTGGCATCTGCATTTTGCCGCCTTGCATTCCTAGGATTCCTGATTATGGCTATCGTATATTATGCCCCTAAGCCCCATTCAAATTTGCAACGCCCCTCTCAAATAGAAAGATTGCTGACAGCATCTTGCTTTCCGGGCCTGCCTGGAGCCACAAACTGATCCGAGTCCAGCTCTACGCCGACCCGCACCCGTGCCAAGAGAAAGGAGCGGATCTTGTTGAAGTTGAAGCCTTGCGACACAGTCGCACGTGCCAGCCGCACAGTTTCCGTTCTAGATCCACTAGGTCGTACGGCGATTGAGAAATACATGTCCAATCACTTTTCCCAACTGCCGGCCGGCGACTCCGAGGCACAGCTGGACCCAAAGGCGATACGTGCCTGTCACCGAACAGACTCAGATGTTCATTGATGTTCATTTCAGTGATCAACTTCTTCCCCGGCAGCTGCTAGAGAATCTTAGTCTGACCAGCTCTGCCAAGTTCTTCTTTCTCAGGCAGTGACATCAGCAACAGTCGTGGAAAGCGGCTGGCAGTCCAATCGTCCTGGTTTCAGGCGAACCAGGTGCGGCCGACAGCGTATCGTGATCTTCATCCGAGTTAACAGTTGTTTGCTCTTGTTTGCGTCTAGCTGCCACTTGCTGAAGTTAAGGGACATGACCGGAAAGGCTGCTTGCATCTTAGCCAGGAAACCGGAGTGAGGCTGCCGAGGTGGAAGACGATGATCGGCTCGTTGGAGAAGAGGTGCACGGACCGCACCAATTCTTCGCCTTGCTCGGAGCTGAGCTTCTGGGTAATCGTTGTGACTAATGTTCATACGGCTGTCCGCAATGGCACAGTGAGGTCGCTGCTCATCTTTGTGTGCTTGCCGTCTGGTGCACCTGCATAGTAGTTGACCTGGGATGTGGCTTCTGGTGTGGCCGCGGAGTGCCAAGGAGTTTGTATCAGGAGACCACTGATGGTGCAACGTCTGGCAATCGGTAGGCAAGCAAGCACGGCTCGTAATCATCCCGTAACGATGGTAAGAGCTTTAAGGAAGCTATCTGCTCAAGCTTGGTTGGCTGACCGTCACATGTGCGATTCGCCAGTGCTTTCTCGCCGACTTGCTTCCGGGCTGCAAATGCTCTCTCAATCCAGCCGTCTTTATCCTTCGGCAGAACGTCGGCAGAACCACATGCTCAGATTGGACACATCTTTGGACTCCAAACCTTCTGCGCTCCTAAGGCTATGCCATGTTTCGGGTCATTTCCGGCTTACAGTCCTCCAGCCAAAAACCAGCTTTTGGTTAAGTTTGTAGGGGTTGGCCAGCCTCGCCTGTCTTGCCAAGGCACGGCAAGCCGCTCGTAGTTCTTGAGGAATCGGTGATCAATGCGGACCCTCATCAGCCCCTGCAAATTACCTTGTCACTGCGCACAAGGTGGAGTCTCAAAAAATTCAGGACGTGTCGTGCATGTCGGAGTTGTAGGTTGCCAGTTCATGTTCGGAAAATTTCGGAAAGGCTGAGACTCAGAACGACCACATGGATGCGACAACGAACGCAGGTCGGCCGGCCACTGAAAGGAGCAGAAACGTCAAGACGAACACATAAGATGGCAATCCGGTGGGAATGATACATGGTTGCGTCAATCACTCCGGCACCATCTTCTTAGGTAGAACGGCACGGACGCTCCTGTGAAAATCCGGAGATGGCGAAGCCCAGCATGGGTTTCTAACAGCCGCCAGTTCAAGTTGCTCAACTCCACCTGCTTGTTCCCGGCTTGCAGTTTCGGGTCGACACCTCAGAGACACGTGCTCCGGAGCGGCCAACGACGGTAGTCAGACTCACAGACTCTGAGACATGTTCTTCCTGTGCTTCTCTCCCAGGCAAGGGTTAAGACGTAAGGCCCCGGCGCGCTCTTTCATGCCACTGGGGA